CGCGGCCTGCGGGTTTGGGGCTGAGCACCGAGCCCTCGGCCGCGCCTCTAAGCCAGGGAAGGCCCGGGAAGGCCAGGGAAGGCCGGGAGGGGGGACACAGCAAAGCGACCGCGGCCGCGCAGGCTGAGCCAGTGCCCGGCCCGGTTGAGGCACCAGGTAAAAGGGCAGGTGCTGGGAGGCCCGATGGGCAGCGGCCAGGCCCCTGGCCCGGAGGCCCAACCTGCACCCCGCCTGCGGGTCCTGCACCCCAGCGAGCCCTAGCCGGGTTCCACTCCCCTCCTAACCTTGTCCCAAGCCCTGGGCAGCCGGCTGAGCCCCCCGGAAGGCCTGGGTGAGCCCAGCCGCCTGGCCCCGGCCCGGCCCCTCCCCGGCCCCTCCGGAGGCGCGGGGCCCCTTCCCGGGTTGTCCCCGGGGCCTCAGAGACTCCTCCCAGAACATGACCTCGAGTCAGTCCCCGCGCAGTCCCCTGACATACTCCCTTCCGCCCCACAGGCCCCAGGACCCGCGGCCCTGGCTGAGGGCCAGCGGACTCAGCGCCACCACCAGAGGGCAGGGCAGGCCTGTGGCTCTCAGGCCGGGCGCCCGGCACGCCCACGCCAGAGGCAGAGGCTGGACGGGCAGCTGGTCTCCGGCTGCAGGACCCCCTGCCCCCCGGCTCTCGGCCCAGCTGGGGGGGAGTCCCCAGCCTGTGTCTCTCCTGTGCCCAGACGGGGCTGGAGGGCCAGTGCCCAAGGGCAGGTCGGGAGGGGGTGGAGCAGCCTGGGTGGGCTCGGGACGGCCAGCTGCAGCCCACTGCTCCCTGGCCATCTCCCGCCACTCCACTCGGCCCTGGCCCATGCCTGGGCCTGCTGAGGACAGGGGCCGGCGCCCCTGCCCGGACCCTCGTCGTCCCGGAGTGTGTTGTGTTTATTTCCAAACAACACCGCCCGCTTAATCTCGCCTTCAGGGTCAGTCTGAACGTCCGTGCCGTGGCCTGGCCTGCTCTTGGTTTCTCCTGTTGACGCAGGCAGCAGGAGTGTCCTGGGCGTGACCCCCTTTCTTTGGAGGTTCGCCGAGCTGCAGGCGGGAGGGCTCTGCTTGCGAAGGAAGCCGCCCCCTGCAGACTTAGAGGCCGCGCCGGCCGCGGACAGAGCAGGCTGCCCGGGGCCGCGGGGGCGGGAGAGCCCCAAACACTGGTGGGTGCTGGGAGCGTTTCTGCGCGCCCCGACGGCTTCCGACGCCCCTGCTGTGCCAGCTCTGTGCACGGTGGGGCGCAGGGCGGCCTCCCCTCGCCCGGCCAGCCCACAGCTCCAGGCGGAGGGGCCAGGTCTGGCCCAGAGGGGCCACTGGCCGCTGGGGGACGGGGCGGGGCAAGGCCAGGCTCTCCTGGACCTGGGACCAGACTGTGCAGGGTCCCGGGGCGTCGGCTGGCCGACCCCCACTGCACGCCCGCTGGACTGCCAGTGTCCACCGTCGGGGGAGGGGGAAACCCGGCTCCTGACTGAAGCCAGCCACGGAGGGCGGAGGGCAAGGAGCCCCATGGCTGCCCCCGCCCCCAGGGCCCCGCCAGGAGGGTGTGCTGGGCTTGGCGGCCGCAGCCAGGTCTTTGCCTGGCCTCTCCCGCCCCGCCCTTCTCTCACCCTCCCTCCCCGCCCTGGAGCCCACCACAGCCTGGACCTGTCTTGCCTGCCCCTTGGGGTGACCACGCCCGGCCTCCCAGGGGCCGCGCTGACTCAGCCTGGGGGCTTGGGGCCCTGTCCGGGTGCCAAGAGGTGCCCTGAGCCCCCTGCAAGCCTGCCCGCGTGCGTTTCCGGCCCGAGCGCGCTGGGCCCATGGTGTGGCCATGGACGCTGCAGGCAGGACGTCCTGCCTGGGGCCGGGGCCTGGGAGCGTAAGGGGCACCGGCCGCAGCTCGGCCTCGCTCTGGCCACGGCCCCTCTGGGCTGCTCGCGCCTCCCGCCGGCTGGCTGGGCGCTGGGGCCGGTGGGAGCGGGGGTGCCCCCGGGGTGCCCAGCCGCGGGCGGCGGCCCGGGGAGGCCCTCCCAGCATTAGGGTTCACTGGGAGGCGCAGGCTGGCTGCTGCGTCCGGATGGCCGTGGGCGCCAGCAGCGCCCCGCTGGGAGTGGCACCCTGGAGGGCCTCTGTCCTGCTGCCGGGCACCAAGTCGACCCCAGATGCCCAGCGCAGATAGCCCCTGGCCAGGCGGCCGCCCACCCGCGGCGTCTGGGGGTGACAGCTCTTCCGCCCGTCGGGTAAGCGGGATGAGACCCCTGAGCGAGCTCGTGTCGGACGCCGGCCGGTCGGCACAGCCCAGCGGCACGAGGCTCCGTCCAGGGGCCGTCACCTGCCGGGAGGCGCTGTGCAGCGCCAGGCCCCCGCTTCTGGGGCCCCTGGCCTGTGCCGGTGCCTGCCGGCCGCACCCCAAAGCTTGCGGGGCCATGGCCGCCGGTGCAGGGCTTGGGGCTGCGCCCAGCTCTGCTCCCCCACCGCGGGTCTCCCCGCGCTGCCATGGATCCCGGAGTTGCGGGGTGTGGCCAGCCGTGGCAGGTGCCCTTCTGGGGCAGGGTGCACCCCAGAGCCAGCAGGGGTGGCAGGCTGGTGCTGTGTGGCTGGGTGGGACAGTTGGGCCCCGGGGTTCTGGTGGACACGGGGTGGGGGGAGGGCTGAGGGGTTCTGGCAGGCCTGAGGGGGGTCTGGTGGAATAGGGGGTGGGGGGATCTGGGGGGCCTGGGGGTCTGGTGGGATGGGGGTTCTGGCAGGTCTGGGGGTCTGGCCACCCCAGCCACTCTGCCTTCAGCCCAGGATGGGGTGCAGCCTCCAGGCGCCCCTCCTTGCCAGGCCTGGCCTGCGGGCCCCACTGCGCCCCATCCAGCTGGGCCAGGGCAGCGCCCACCCTCTCACCGTGCTCAGCGCAGGCCCTGCAGGGTCAGAAGGGCAAAGCAGACCACAGGGCTGCTCGGCCAGGGGCTGGCCCTTGAGGCCCCGCCAGGCGCATGTGTCCAGCCCCGACCCCGTGGCTGGGGCCCGCAAGGGGTGGAAGCAGCAGCAGGAGGGTCTCTCCTGGGGCCTCCCCGGCCTCCAGGACCTGCGCGTGGGGCGCCGGGCAGAGACTGTGCCGCCTGGCGGGGACCAGCACCCAGGCTGGCACGGGGCTCCCCGGCGCCCGCACAGGGCGCCACTCAGGTCTTGCGCGGCCTTTCGGGCCAGGGTCCCCCATGCCTGCAGGGCCAAGCAGTTCGGCCTGTGGGCAGCAGGTGTGTGATGCCCACCCACATGCATGTGAGGGGAGGGGCGAGGCACGGGGGCAGCTGGCCACAGCCCTGCAAGATGACCTGTCCCCCCACGAGGCCCCAGCCCCAACTGGGGCAGCACCAGCCCTTCCAGCATCCGCGGAGGAGGGAAACGGAACAGGCTCGCCCCTCCCGCTTTCCCGAAACCCTTTCTGCCAAAGTAAACAGAGCAAGCAAGGCCAGTCCACTCTCAGCTGGCCGGAAGCGCGGGCTCTCCAGAGCACGGTCAGTGAGGCTGGGGGACACCTTCCGGCTGGCCGCCTCGGCCAGGCACCCTGGACATGTCCCGTGACCCTGGGTTCAAACGCCGGGGCTCTGGCGCTGCACCCCACCGCCGGCAGCGTCCGGCCGTGGGCCACTGTGTCCTGACCCCAGGCGTGGGCAGCCCCGCTCTTGGACCACGCAGCCTCGGCTCTGGACGGGCCCGGCGGTGCTTGCGTCCACAGCAGCGAGGGGCCAGGCGCCCAGGGCCTGTCCCTCCCGCCCCACTTCCAGGGCCGCGGGTCTGAGGGCTGCGGCGGCTGGGGGCCGAGACCTCACTTGTGCCAGATGTGGGGCCCCACTGCAGACCCTGGGGGCGGGGCGGGGCGGGGGATTCGTGGGAGGAAGGGGCCGGGGGCCGGGGCAGGAGGAGGGGCAGGGGCCAGGGCTGTGGACACAGCGAATGGGGCCGGCAGAGGCAGGGCTGTGGCCAGCACCCAGGTGTGTCCCCTTCTAGGCTGCGCCTGGACGTGGGGCCCGGGGGTAGCGTCCTGCCTGATGGCACTTCAGCCTGAGCCGTGGCCCCATGGGCAGTGACCCCGTGCTGAGTCCCCGTGGGCCATGAGCCCTCCCTGGCCTCCAAGGTCTAGGTCTGTGCCCCTCCTGTCCCCAGGCCCGCAGCCCCTCCGGGGGGTGGGCCCTGCCCAGAGACCCCTGCCCACGGAGCCCCGGGGGCCCTGCGGCCCGGCCTTGGGGGCCTCTCTGGCTGCGAGTCGGCTGCGGCGGTGTCACCCCACCGGTGGCCCCAGGAGCCCCAGCAGCCCCCTGGCCAGCGGGCCTGACCGCGGGAAGTGTGGACAGCCTCAGGGAGGCTCTGTCCCCCTGGCCCTGGCCCAGGGCACCTCCACGCCTTGGGTGGGGAGCGGCAGCCACCTGGCAGGCCCGGTCCCGGGTATCTGAGCGTCCCACGTCAGTGGGGTCTCAGGCCCGCCGGCCCGGCAGCAGGGACCCCGGTCACAGCCTGCGGCACCGACAGCACAACGCAGCGGCCTCCGAGGGGCTCCGGACCCCGCGGGCCGGCCGACCCTGGCTTATATCCCCCTTGGGAGCCCCGCCCACGCGACTGGGTGGGCCGTTCCTCAACCCTGTGACTGATTGGGCCGCTGAGCGCCAATCGGCTCGAGGCTCGCCTGCGATTGGCCCAGCCAACGACCCAGGAAGTGCGCCTTCCATAAAAGGCCCTGAGGCCGTCGCCGCCCCTCGCCCTTGTACCGCCGCTGTAAGCTTTGCTGACCGCGGTCAGCTCGGCGCCCGGAAGCAGTGGTCCGCGGCCCCAGGACCCTGTGTGGGCGTGTAGACGCGCTGCTGGCCACGGCCCTGCGCGGTGGCCGAGGCGGCGGGGGCAGGCAAGGCCCGGGCAGGGGGCGGCCACCGCCCCCGACCAGGCGGCAGCAGCCTGGCCAAGAAGGACCGTGCTTGTCCCCTGCGACTGCTGTGGGTGGTGGTTTGGCCTGATGCTTGGTCTCTGTGTGGCCGCGTCACCGGGTCAGGAGCACGGTCACCCCGCCCAGGCGAGTCTGTCCTTTGGCCGCTGGCCGGCAGGCCGGGGCGTCACGGCGCCTCTTCCCAGCTCCGGCGGCGAGATAGGGCCCGCCACCGCGCTGTGGGACCCCACTTTCTTCTCAGCTTCCGGATGCTGGGGCTCGCCTTTGCTCCCCATCAGAGGCCCTGTGGGCGGGCGGGTAGGAAGGGGGCTGGTGTGGGGCCGGGCAGGAGGCCGCTGGCGCCCACACCCGGAGCAGGGTCGCACATTCCTGGGGCCGCTGGGCCTGGGCGCAGGTGGCCAGAGGCGGGCGCGGTCCTCGGCGCCCCCCACACGAGGTCAAGGCCCTGCAGGAGCAGCTGTGGGTCTCTGGCTCTCAGAGCCGCCTGGATGCCTCTGGGCATCTGCGGCGCTGGCGGGCAGGGGCCGGGCGGGCCCTCTGGGTCAACCGGACGCCATAGGAACAGGGCCGCCAACTCCGCACCACCGCCTCGGCTCCTGGTCTGGGGCCCAAGGCGCAGCGGGCCCCCCAGACGAAGGGCCGCGACCCCGCGGTCTGCCCCGCGCACTGGGTCCTGGGCCCAGCCGGGCGCTGGGCGCACCCCTACTTCAGTGCCCCCAGAAGACAGCAAGAACTGGGGCTCCACGAAGGTCCCACGGGCACCCTGCCAGTGGTCAGCCTGTAGCCACGTTGTCCTGTCTGCAGGCAAGGCCAGCGCCCAGCGCGGTCTCAGGCTCCGGTGGCTTCTCACCGGGGAGGAACTGGGCTGTCCCCCAGCATCTCCTCTGTTCCCTGGCCCCCGCGTGGCCCGGCCTCCCTGGCCCGCGCTGGGTGGTGCTGACCTCGGCAGGCCACAGCGCCGCCCGGGTCCCGGAGGCCCCGAGGCAGCCCCAGCCGCGGGGAGCATCGCCAGACCCCCGGGGGAGCCCAGGCTCTGTGCCGCGGGCCCCCACGGCCATCAGCTGCGGCCCCGATCGTGTCCTCGTAGCGGTGCTGGGCACGCCTGGCCGTGGCCACCGGGCTGCGGGGTGGGTGAGTGGGCACGGTGAGGGAGACAGCACTGAGAGGACGAGCAGCCTGACCACAGGAGCGCCGAGACGCACGTGGGAGTGGCCACGGAGTGCCCAGAGGAGCCGGGGTCCGGGGGGCTGAGCCCAGCTGCCGCACGGGCCCGAAGCGCCCACGCAGGCCTCCCGGGCTCGCCGCGAGCCGGCCCTGTGCCCGCCGGCTGCACCCCCGCCACAGGGACCCCCGACTCCCGAGTTGGCCGGGAGGGGCCGCCCCCGGGAGACACGGCTGGGGCCTGGCGGCAGGTGGGCGAGGGCTGCAGCCGGCGCTGAGCTCCTGCAGTCCCCGCCGGGCTGCCAGGTCAGCCCGGGTTCAGGTACAGGAGTCCCCCAGCGAGCGGAGCCCAGCACCTGCCCGGGGCGCAGCCGACTCGAGGCCCGGGGGCTCACGCTTGCCGAGCCGAGGTGGGGCCGGGCGGTGGGCAACAGGCGGCTCCTGGCCCAGCCCTTCGGTAGGTGACCAGGTGACCTGTCCGCGGGGGTGTGTACGCGGGGAATACTATACAGCCACGAAAAGGCAAAGCGAGCCGGCCCTGTGCCCGCCGCCTGCACCCCGCCGCAGGGGCAGTGGGTGGTTCTCGAGGTGATTGTGTTAAATGAAGTAAGTCAGGACATGAGAGAAATAGCAGATGATCTGTTCTGTGGAACAGAAATAACCAGAAAACAAGGTTCAAAAACCTTGAATCAGTGGAATGGTCGCCCCAGGGAACAGGCTGGCAGGGCAGAGGGGCACAGCACAGGGGACTTGGAGGCGGGTGGACGTGCGCCCGGACCGGAGAGCAGAGGCCCGACCCTCAGAGTCCAAAAATAAAATTAAAAAGCTGAGGCCGCTGGGGCGGCCCGGCCAGGAGTCCATCGGCAGGCCGCCCCGCCGCATGCCCCTGCCTGCTGTCCACTGCCCGCCTCCCTGCCGGTCCACTCCCCTCCTGCCTCCTGCCCTCCTGTCCACTGCCTGCCCGCCCCACCCCCAGCCCAGGGTGGCCCGGCAGCACTGGCCCTGCCCTGGGACGGGCCCCCCGGGTGCCGTCGACCTGTGCGGCCTTGCCTCTGCGCCCAGCCCACGGTGCCCGGGTCAAGCGTGGCCCGCGGTTTCCGGGAAAAGAGGGTCCAGGCGGAGCTGCCCGGCCGGCCCTTGCTGTGGGCGCGGAGGCTTATCGGCCCCTCCCAGGCCACTTCCTTCCTCCCACACCGACGACCCGGGGGTCACCATGGAAAGTCTGAGCGGCTGAGGCTGGGGGCTCAGCCTGGCCTGCACACCGGCATCTGGGAGCCATTTCCTGCTGCACGCACACCGCTGGGCCGCGGCCAGCTGGCCGTGGGTGCAGGCACTTACCTCTC